GGTGCTGAGAGGGGCTGGGGCCGGGGCCGGGGCCGGGTCTGGGTCTGGGTCTGGGGCCGAGGCTGGTGTGGGCTGCTGGGCCCGCTTCTCCTGCTCCAGCTGCAGCCTAAGCCACTCCACCAGCTGCTGCTTCTGCCGGAGCATGCGGGTCAACTCCTCAATCTGCTTGTCCTTTTCCTGCAGCATCTGGTCCTTGTCACGCCCCTCCAGCTCTGCCCGTACCCCAGGGCTCAGACAGCAGGACCCGGCCCGGGGGCCCTCCTCCTTCACAAGGATCTGCAGTGGTGAGGCCTGCAGGGTGAGCTGGGTCAGTGGCGACGTCACCATCTCGCCAAAGGTATCCCCGGGCGTGGAATTCTCATCACCAGTGCTGAGCAGAGAACGCTCCGAAGGGGTGGGAGACACGGGGGGTGTGGAGCCCGTGCTGCCAAACTTCACCACTCCGTTGCTAGTCACTGTGGCCACCACCACCTCAGCTGGGGCCAGGCCCGCTGCCACCAGGGCGGGCCCCGTGCTTAGCCGGGCTGCCGGAAAGGCAACCACCACCTCGCCAGCCTTGGGCAGGATGGAGGCGGCGGTGGGGGCCTTGGGCGCTCCGGGGGCAGGGCTGACTTGTTCTTGGTAGGCGCGCAGGCGCTCGATCAGGTCCGTCTTGGTGCCGGAGACGGGCAGTGACCGCAACTTCAGCTCCTGCTTCAGCTCTGCCACCTGCAAGGGGATGGAGAGTCAGGGCAGCAGGGAGACTAAAGGAACTGGGTCTGAGCAGGACAGTCGTGGGAAGATGAGCGGGACAAACTTTTTGTTTGTTAGGCCTTATTGGTCTGGGCCCCACCGGCCACTGGGAGAGCGAGATGTGGACTGCCCAACGGCCTCGCCACACCACGGGGTTGGTTGGATGCTCCCGCCCCCGTGTCTGGGCAAGACATGCCCTCAGCTGTCCCGGCCCCAGAGTGGTGCCTGGTGACCAATAAATACTTAATTGAACTGACTGGATTTTACAGAGTAAACTGAGCTCATGGAAGTGGAACAAGTTCTTCAGGATCACAGGCTGGGTAGCGGCAGAGCCAGGGGTTAAAGCTGGGTCTGGGGGACTCTGAGGCCCGTGTCCAGCTGCCCCCATAAGGGCCGTGTCTTGCTGGAATCTGGGTCATAGCTCAGGAGGGACCAGCCTGGTTCAGAGGACAAACTCTAGAGGGCGAACATGATCCATTCCGCTTTCTGATCGGGGCAGAGGAAACAGGCCAGGCCCAGGTCATGTCCCACCCTCCAAGGCCAGGCAGACGCAGCACTTGTGGGGCAGATTCAGCAGGACACTAACCGGCAACGTGGAGCCCTGAGTCTGAACCCCAGATCTACGTGCCTTGGGTGAGCCTCTCCACTCTTCTCGGCCCCTGCCTGCTCATCCTCATGCTGGGGTGACACTGCCTGTTTCTCACTCTGCACTGTAGAGGCCACAAGGATTAGAGGCGTGTAAGCACCTGGTAAGCCCCGCGGTCCTGGACAGACACTGGCTGATGCCGTTAATGACCACAGTGACACGGCTGATGTCACGGATGACCAGAGCCAGGAGGGGCTCGGGGCAGGCTCCCAGCCTCTGCTGGAGGAGACCAGAGCTTTCCATGGCCGTGGTCCTGGGCCGGCTGTCTTCCCTGCCTGAAAACAAGCACCCAACTGCCCCCAGGGGAGGGCAGGCCAGCAGCAGCTCAAGGCCTCCAGTGGGACGGGCACGGCCACCTACCTTCATATCGTCCAGGTTGGCGGGCAGGGCCCCCGGCTTGCCAGTTAGTGAGGCACTGTTCTGACGTGCCAGCCCTCCGGGCCCAGGGCCGCCTGAGCCAGAGCTGCTGCTGCTGGCGGAAAGGCTGCGCATTGGAGGGGCCCCACTGCTTCCCAGAGCCTCGCCCGCTGGCCTGGGAAGAAAGGGAAGGAGTAAGCCCCCATCAAGCATCACCCGCGGCCTCTGCAGGGCCGGGCAGAGATGGGCGTGGGCGAGGGCCCCGCCCAGAGACCACTCGTGCAGGACCAGACCAAAGGGTCCTGGAAGGTCCAGGTCCGCCCCCAAGGCCCGGCACCCGCCCGTTCCGGGGGCCCGGGGCGGGCTCCTACTTGGGTGGGGCAGGCAGGATGGTCTGGTAGTTGTAGTGCTGCTGCTGCTGCTGGTTGAGGATCTGGAGCTGCAGGAAGAGCTGCTGCTGCTGCAGGATCCTGGCATAGGAGGAATCCATGGGGGGCGCCCCCTTGTCCTGCTTTTGGTCCGGGGGGATGTACTGGTGATACTTGAGCTTCTTCACCTTTGGCTTCAGCTCCTTGGCTTTCTTGCTGCGCTGAGACTTCTCACCGGCAGCCTTAGGTTGGCTTTGCTGGGGGCACAGGAGCAGAGGGTGAAGTCAGGGGCAGTCTCGGCTCTGGGAGGCTAGGCCTCCAACGGGCACCTGAGTGGCTTCTGAGAAGCCTGGCCCGTCCCACGCTCCCTGCTAGATGGCTCCCTGCCCAAAGTAGAGGTCTCATCAGTGCCAGGAGTGTGCAGGGGAGGGGGCAGGGCTGGTGGGGGGCTGTGACAAGCCCCACTCTTAAAAGAGCTTTAGCCCAAACGCATAGGCCAGGCATCACCATGACCCCAAGCACAGAGTGAATGCAACAAAGACGGAAAACAGCTGATCTGTGGAGCACACACGGCTCACACCGGGTGCTTTACAAAGACCACGTCACACAGAATTGCAAGAACCCTGCCTGGGTTCTACTTGAAAAAAGCAGCAGCAGAGAAGTCACTTGCCCAAGGTCACACAGTGATCGTGATCTTGCCGTGTGAAGGAGCTGGGACCCAAACCCAGGACTCCGAAAGTTCATGTTCATTCACCACTGGGCCTCCAAACACTCCCAGTGGGCACTCAGCAGACCAGGAGGCCCGCAGGTCACGCTCGGGAAGCCATCTTTGGGCGAGGGAGGGTGAAGCTGGACGGGCCAACAGTCAGCGGCACTGAGTGCCAGGGAAGGACCACGGAGGGCTCAGCAGTTTCTGAGCAGAGAAAGGCAGACAAGGGTGAAGACTTGATGCAGGGGTCAGCTGGGGTCTGACCGGGGGCATCGGGGACTGGCGGGAAGGTCTCAGTAGAGGCGACTGACTAGGAACAATGGACAACAGAACACGTGGCAGGTGAATAGGTACAAGGTTCAAAGTTCTGAGCTCTGGCAATTGTGACAATGGTGGCCCCTTTGTGGAAGTTGGGAAGAGGTTCTGGTCAAGCCAGGGAGGACGGAAAGAGGGAGGAGCAGGAGCAAGCTGCTGAGCTGGAGCTGGCAGAGCACCCAAGAAGATGGAGAGGGGCCGGGGAGAGGACCAGAGAAAGGCTGAGGGCACGAGAAAGAGGCCCACGGCCAGCCTGGGAGTACCCTACAGAAAGGGAGGAAGACGGGGGGGCAGGGGACAGAGGCCCATGGGGGCTGGGGAGCCGGAGCCAGAGCCAGAGCCAGAGGCACTACCCCAAAAAGAAGAAGTGAGGTACACGCCGTTCTCTCAAATGTGTGGTGCTCACAGGAAGGCACCAGTCGTGTGATGAGGAGCAGGTCTGAGGGAGGAGTTCTGGGGGAAAACCTGTGACATCAAGAACAGACAGCAGAGGCAAGGGAGGTGCCCAATGATGAGGAAGTGGGGCCTCACGGAGACGCAAATGGGGCAGGCCTCGGGACGGGGGCACCACACAGAAAGGCTTCAGAGACCCCGCGAACGTACAGGGAGCACCCGGGGGCACGGCGAGCGCTCAGCTAAAGCCAGCTCCTGGGATGTGAGCAGCAGGAGAGGAATACAGATGGCCCGAGACTCTGAGCCGGGGGCAGGGTCTGTGTGGAAGCACCAGAGAATCAGACAAAGCAGGAAGCAAGTGGGGTGGGAAGGAAGGGCCCCTGCGCAGCAGGAGCGGAGCACAGGTGTGGAGGGCGGCGGGTGGGGCTCAGGTCCCAGAGACTGAGCAGGAGGCTCAGCAGGGCGAGGAGGACCAGGCATTGGCTCTAGGTGCTGCTGAACTTAACCCCAGTGCCAAGCACTATGTCCCCACACAGAGGTCCCCATGGGTGTCTCGTGGGGTTGATGGTAAACCCTGCCCCTTCAGATATTTCAGGTCAGGCCTTGGAGGAGGAGAATGAAAACAAAATACCCAGCATGGCCAGCTGGGTGACCTTGGGCCCATCACCTCACTCTCAGTTCCACCACTGGCAGAAGAGGTTCTATTATGGTCTCACGAGGCTAGGAGTAGACAGAGGAGACATGTGGGCACGTTTCCTGGGGAGGGCAGGAGTGAGAGCCTGCCCCGCCGTGCTCAGTAAACGGTGTCTGTGACCAGGACAACCAGTGTCCACGGAGAGAACAGGCAGGTCTCCCACGGTACCCTGGTGACCTCTGCTGGCCCCTGACCAGGAGGAGAAGACAGGCACCCCCACTCGCTGTCCCCACCCTGGAATGAAGTCATGGCAGGGCTCGGAGGGACATGGGGAGGAGGCAGTCGGCTGGAGGTCTATACCTTAATGAGTGTGGGGAGGGGCTTGGCAGCGGGGACCGCGGTTCCGTTGGTGAGGCTGGGAGGCAGAGGAGGCTGCTCCGCCAGGAAAAGTGTTTCTCCGGACTCCGGGCCCACTGGGAGTTGAGACACAACCTGGGAGAGAAGAGGGGAAGTGAGGACACTCTGGCTGCTCCAGAAGCTGAACCATCTCCAGGCTCCACTGGCAATGCAGCCCTGCCCTGCCCTGCCCGGAGGTGGGCGGCTGTCACCTCCTCGGACACTGTCACCGTTGGGGGGCAAATGGGAGGGGTGAGAAGAGGAGCCCCCAGGGTGGCAGGGGATGGGGACTGGCACAGGGGAGGCAGAGGGTGGTGAAAGGATCATGGAGCTGAACACACGCAGGAAAAGCGGCTGTTCTGAGAGTGGACTTGGGGCCGCCAGGGAGGCCTGGGAATCTAACTGCCAGGCAGCCCCGCCAGCGTCCTCCATGGGGGCCCACAGCCGACACCTCCCAGCTACTAAGCTACGTGGGCAGCACCCTCTGGCTTCCCCGTCCCACTTGGCCAAGTGAGGGACCTCACCCTGGGCTGCTCCAGCAGGTCTGGGGCCCTGGGGAGCAGGGGAAGCATCGGGAGTGGGCAAGCTCACCTGAGTGGGGGACACAGAGGTGGCACTGGGCAGTGGCTCGCTGACTCGGGCTTCCAGAGGTGATGGCACCGAGCCCTGGGACTCATGGCTGGCAGGCTGCTCAGGAGATAAGGCATCACTGCTGTCCTCGTCAAAGGAAGAGCTGTCTGCTACCTTCGGGTAGTTTACCTGGCCCACTGAAAACCAAGGCCAGGGTAAGGCTCCACCAGCAGACGGGAACAGGGCCCTTGCTCACCAGCCAGAGGCTGTCTCTGCAAGGGACCTGCCCTGCAGCCCCCGTGCCCCAGCGAGGCAGCAGGAGAAGGGAGGCCAGCAGCCAGGCTGCTCGCTCTGTCCAGAAGAGCTCGAGGACAGCTCATCACCATGACCCCGAAACAAAGCCCAGGAAGAGTCAAGTCCTGCTAGGCCATCCAGGTGCTCCCTTGGTGAGGAAAGGCCTGATCGTCAACCTCTTGGATTTAACTCCACACTGTGTTCAGTCTTTAAAGTCAGGGTCTGGCCTCCCTCCCCCTAGCCCGCCACCTCCTCCACCTTCTGCTTCCCTGCTGTTAAAGACAATTTATTTCCATTCTGCGGCTGCACAAAACTCTCTTCTCCTAGAGGCTCGTGGACCCTGGGATGAGGGCTCTGACCCTGCGATGAGGGATCAAGGGAGTTCAGGTAACCGCTGTGGGAGTGCAGCTCCTCCCCTGGGCTGCCTGAACTCCCCAAAGGCCAGGGACAGACTAAGGAGCCTCCCAGAAAAGGGACACTTGCTTGTGCAGGTAAAACAGGTTCAGTGGAAGGACCGTGACCTCCCTTTAGCGGCCAGTGACTCCCAGAGACCCAAGGCCCGGGAGCAGCAGCTGCCAGAAGCAAGCCCAGGCTGCTGACTACTAGTGCCCCGCCCCGCCCCGCCCGCGGTGAAGGCCTGGGAAGCGGCCAGGGGCCAGGCTGGCAGGGAGACACAGGAGGAGCAGTGGCCCAGCGTGGAAATCCTGGACACAGAGAGAAGGAAAGAAGGGGACGGGGCAAGCTGGGTGTTTCAAAAGATTCGTATCACGACCTCTCCCTCGACACTACGGGGGGAAGAAGTTCTGCACCGGCCCCGTCCACACAGGGGGAACTGAGGCAATGACCACGCCAGGGGAACTCTACCGTGGTGGGAAGACCACAGGTGAGAAACAGGAACAAGCCAGTAAGTCTCCCAGCAGACGCTTCCTCTCCAGGGCTGCGACCCAAGGCCCCTTCCTCCCCTGGAGCTCACGAAGGATGCACCTGAGCTTGTCCCTCCTGAATGAATATGGTTCTGGAGCCAGGACTGCCACAATGACCCCACTCCCCTCACCTGCCCTCACCAGGCCGCTGGCAGCGCAGCGAGGGGGCGGAGCTTGCTGACCATACGTGCTTCCCACCAATCACACGTCTAGGTTTTCTCCCACGGTCTCTCCTCCCAGAGAGGGCACCTGCTCTGGCACAGAGGCATGGAATCCAGGATGGAGGACCTGCAGGTCCACCCCAGCCTCAGTCCAACAGGGAAACTGCTGGCCACACTGGAGAAGCCCGAGGGCTGGTGCCGGCCAGGGTCGCCGCAGGGCCTATTTCTCTCCTGTGTGGTGGGCAGTGGAGGTGCAGGGGCGGGGTCCCTATCCTCTGAGAGTGTCCGGTCCAGGCACAGTAAATGGTTCGCTAGAGGGAAACCTAGATGCTGAGGGGACACTAAGGACAGGCTCAGGGAAGACTTCTTGGAGGGGAGAGCCTTGACATAAATCTTACAGATCAACTGGGGGTGGGTGTGAGGAAGCGTGTGCTCTGAGTGGCCACGGGGAGTCTGTGCGGACCTCTGTGGGAGGTGAGACCTCCCACATCCCCGTTCTCATCAGGCCTCCCCTCCCAGCCGCCCCCAACACCTGGCTTTGTCTCCTCCAGAAGTGAACTCCACCTCCTCCCCCTCCCATCCTCCCATCACCAGCCTCTCCTCCACCTCCTTCTGATCCGCCCTAAACCTGCTCTTTTCTCCCAGCCTGAAAATCCTTCTCAACCCACCGTCTCCCTCTCCTTCTCTTCTCCACTTGCCTCTTGAACAAACAGACTACATTTGCTGCCCACCCCACCACTGCCGCCTTCTACCCAGTCCTCAACCTGCACAACCACTACTGGCAGTTGCCCCTTTCTCTCAAGTCACCAATGATTACCTCGCTGCCAGATTAAACTACTCCTAGTCCTCAAACAAGCCATGCTCCGCCAGGCCTCCCTGCCACTGCCATGCTGTCCCCTCCGCCTGAAACGTCCTTCTGTACTCTCTACTTGGCAAACTGCTTCAACCTCCAGGTGGACCCCAAATGTGCCACAGCACCTGTGGAACTTGCCCAGCCCCGCCACTGTCCCACCCCTGAGAGAAGCCCGACTCAGACAAGCTCCTGCTGCACCTGCCACACACCCACTGTCCTGTGTCGTTCACAGCAGCAGCTGCAGCTGGTCTAATGTGCATCACTGCTAAGAGCAGCAGCCCTTCCCCGAGTCCCCCTGGGTGCCAAGGACTGTGCCAGGCCCTTAATACCCATCATCGCCCATTATGAGCCTGCAAACTGTCCCAAAAGGCAGGTGACTTGGTAAAGATGCCACAGGGCCATGGCCTTTATACTATGCAGCACCACATCTGCCCAGGAGTGAGCCTCAGAAACCCCTTGTTTATATATCAGTCTTCTCCCATCAGACTGAATTCTCTGAGGGCAGCAGCCACACATTTTGTTCATCTCTGAACTGCCCGACTTCACACAGGCCAGGCACGTGGCCGACTCTTGGCAAACATTTATTAGATTTTGGCCGGCTGGAGAGTCCACAACTGACCTTCGCCCAAACGCTGGCCGATAGCTAGGGGCTACTGTGGAATCTTGTGAAGATCTGGGTAGGAAAACACCGACGTGAGGTGAAACGAATGCCGAGGCAAAGCAGGGAATTAAAAGAAGAGAGTGGACAGGGCCCCGGCAGCCACCCTCCAGCACGGTGCTGCCCAACGCTGGCGGACCCGTCAGTGGTGCAGGCGAGGCCTTAGAAACCAGTATCCTCAGAGCCGGGCTGGGGTCTATCCTGTGCCCTGCCCAAGGGCTGTGCCCACCATCACAGGGGGAGCGCTGGAGCCTCTCGGAGGCACAGCTACCTCCTGGGGGCCGGTCTCAGGCCCACTGCAGCGAAGGAGACACGTCTGTACCAACAGCCACCAAAGTCCGAGCTATCACCAACAGCCACCAAAGTCCGAGCTATCAAGTCTGAGACCCCTGACCGTGGCCAGGGGGACCGCGCATGGCCGGGACTGCGCCGCTCCCACCCGTCTTGAGGCCACCCTTCCAGCACCACATGCAGGCTGCTCCTTCTCCCGCTGCACACGCTTTAATTCCCCCTCACCCTGCGCCCCCAGTCCTGGCCCCGCCTCCTCTGCCGCCGCCCCCCCATCGTTGGGCGGGCTTGGGGGCCCACCCCCATGTGCCCTCCACCGCTGCCCAAGTCCCTGCCCGTGTCTGCTCCAGGTGTGAACTCCCCGAGGGCCGGGGGCTTGTTCTGCCTTGAGAAGCTGTGGTCCTAGCGCCAAGCACACTGCTTGGGTCAATCCTGACTGAGTGAACTATCTGTGGAAAGTGTCAGGCTCCAAGAGGAGATTTCACTAACGAAAAGCAGCAGCTGGTACGGCTTCTGGCTCCTGGCGTCTCCACGTGCTCACACACACTGAGCCTGACTTCCGCCCTCTGGGAGAGGGGACTCGCCCCTGCCTTCACTGAGCTGAGGGGTGGTCAGAGGCCCCTCTGATTTACTTAGCTGCGTTGGCACAGTGCTGGACTGCGGGGCCAGTGGCACCGTCCCAGGCTCACATGGCCAGGGGATCAGGCTCTCATACTCTGCACCTCAGCTGCCCCAGGCCCAGCAGGAAGCAGCCCAGATGCCCTTCCCTCCGCACCCGGCCTGCAAGTGCACCCGGGGCGGCCGGGCCTCCTCACCGATGATGGCCTCCTTCAGGCTGGACTCCACAGGCAGGATGTTCTTCTCCACCAGCTCCATGGGGCCAGGCCTCTGTGCAATCTTCTCGTTGAGGTCATCAGCCAGCCTGGCTCTCTTCAGCTTCAGCTGCTTGGCCTGCAGGGAAGGCTCGGCCGAGGTCTCTGTCCGCGGGAGAGAATGGAGTGAGTGCGGGAGGATATGGAATGAGCTGCTTCTGCCCTGGGAATCCAGAGTGGCTGCCCTTCCCTCTGGGGAAGGAGCAGAGACCATCAGCATGCAAAGCACGTCCCAGGCAGAGAAGGGTGGCCCGGCTTGAAGTTTCACAAGGACAGAAGAAGGAGCCCCCACTGTGGACAGCGTGTGGCTGGCCACCAGGCCAAGGCTAGCCCAGACAACACTGGAAGAGCTGGGATGGTCTCTCCTCTCCCTCAGACCTGCTGCTGTGCTGCAGGGGGAGTTCACCTCTCTGCTCTGGGTCTCATCTGCAAAATGTGCGGATCAGACTAGGAAAGCTTTCTTTCAACCCCAGAGTGGGTTCAAACCAAACAAAACACGGACAGAGTCACAACGCTTTCAGCAGCCACAAGCTTTCCGTCCCTAGAATGTGGAAAGACGTGTGTGTGGGGCCAGGCGAGTGTGTCTGGGATGAGCCTGCTCATACTTCACAGGTGCTTGAGGAGACACTGAGTGAAGGATGACGGATGGATAGAGAGATGAAGGAATGAACAAAAACACAAAGTAAATGCATTTTAAAAACAGATTTGGAGGAAAGGATTTCACACCAAGGTTAGATGAGTTCCAGGGCCACCATGTGGCCCTAGAAAGAGGGAAGCCAACCCAAGAGAATGTGATTGTGCTTCTTTGGGAATCCCCAAAAACCAGTGGTGACCACCACCACACTGCTGTCTTACTGTGCTAAGGCTGCGGCTTACCCACCCACTGCCTGGAGACATGGGAGCGATAAGAAAGAGAGAAGAAGAAATGTGGGTGGTGCAGAGGTGAAAACAGTGAGAACAAGGGTTTAGGTGAAGAAGCATTTCTAAGCTAACACACCTTCCAAAATGTGCATCCTGACCAGCTCCGATCTCTCCGGCCGGGAACGAATCTTCCGTTTCAGATAGTCCTCTGTCTATAAAAAAAAAACACACCAAGGAGCTCTCAAACCCAGGTCACAAGCTTATGGCATAGACAGGACTAGAAAGCAGCCGTGGCTCTCGTGGCTGCTGTGGGTAACCTCTGCAGCCCTCATTTCTCAGCCTTGGGACTGCAGGGTTCTGAGGCAAGCGGAGGCCTGGGGAGGGGTGGCCTGGGGAGGATGCGTCCACTTTCAATGCACCTACCAAGGGCCCCATCCATCAGTCAACACCATTTGTCTCTCTGAGGCTGGACTACTAATATCTTTTTTAATCTATTACTTTTACTATCACAAAAGTAATATATGTTCATCAAAGAAAATTTAGAAAACTAGAAAGTAAAACAACAATTTTAACCACCCACTGTTAGGTCTTGGTGTGTTTGCTTCTAATCATTATTCCACGCAGAAGAGAAGTTTAATTTTGCAGAGCTGTAATCATGCTGAATATAATTTTATATCTTATTTCAAAAAAGTTGGCATTGCATCTCCTCGTGAGCATTTTCTATCCATTCTGCATGGCTACCAAGCGGAATACTAATCTGGATTACATAGTGTCACAGCTCCGGTTTCTTAAAATCCAATGTCCTCATTTCTGCATTTCTGAGGCTCCAGGTGAATGAAGTCCCAGAGCCACTGCACTCCCCAGCGCTGGTGTTCTAATGTATGTGTGACCCCAGATCTGTCTGACTCCAGCGCCTCTACTCTTAACCTTTTCACCAGAATTTTTCATACCACAGGTCAAGACCACGAGTAGGTAAAGACCAACACAGGACAGGATAGGACAAGGCAGAGCAGAACAGAGCAGAAAATCAAACATCAGAGTGTACTGCATGCATGTCATAAGGTAAAGACTTGGCCCTCATCCGCCACCTTGGTGCTCTGACCTGGCAGCTCCATGCCAGCCCTGGGGTAGCGCTGAGCTGACCGGGGACAGCTCACAGGGGCTGCAGACCCTGGGCGCAGCACCCATCTGCCAGGGGCTGAGGTTATCACCATGGCTGCCGCAGAAGATGGTAGAACAGGTTGGACACTGCAGGGCCTCACGGAACATGAGAGAGAGACATGTTTTCTAAGCCACCTGAAGTTCTGAACGGTGGCCACGGCTGAGGGAGAATATGGTGCTGATTCAGAAAATACCTGGAGTCCAGAAACCAAGGACTGAATCCCAGTTTGCCACTTACTACCTAGACAAGTTACTCAACTTCTCTTAGCTGCATCTAAAAGGAGAAGATAATAACACCTGATTCCTAAGAGTTGATGGGAGCATAAACAAGAAAGGGATACAATTCCATATGGAAGTGCTCAAGACCCCACACCCTCGTCTCACACTTCTGTCTATGGAGTGTGTATCTCCCTGAATAAATCTAGTTTCACTTTAAGAAACAAAAAAAGAAGTGCTTGATAAACCAGTAGATATTCTAATTAGTGCATATTTACTCCAGGCTTTTGAGAAACAGCCCAGGAAATGGCGCCACATATTAAGACTGGGCTGGGGCACAGGCAGCGGCCTTCCTCCTCCCGCAGACTCCCTCCTCCTCCCGGCACCGAAACCGTGCAGCTGGTCAGTCCTTTGGTTCCCAGTACCTGTGACCTCATTCTTCCCACTCTAAGAATTAATCATTGCTTTCCTCAGAAGTTTGTTAAAAATAAAATAAAAATAGAAGACAATAAGGTAAGTCTTGGAGATTTTAAATATTTCAGAGCCTCTGAAAGAGCTGTGGGAGCCCTGGCCTGTGATCCTCCATGTGGGGAGGTTCTCTTCCCTCGTCTTTTTCACAAAGAGAAAAGCGAAGGGGCTGAGCGGGGGAAGCATCTTCTGGCGACTTCCCCATCTCTGCCCACATAGGGCAGCAGAATATTCCCCCC